AGAACATATCTCAAATTACATCCTGGTATGCACTCTTTCTGTATCTCAGTGTGGCTACATCTACATATTTTATATATGTGCCTCTAATAACTTTTGCTGCAAAACTGCTGTGCAACACATCAGGCCTTTGGGATGGATGCATTGGAAGTTTTGCTTAAAAGGCAAAGAAACAGGGTAAAGTATCTCTCCATGAGGTTTAAGAGCACTTGGCTACTCTCAGTATCAGGATTGGTTTGGATATGTGCTAGAACCAGATGGTTTGCAAATAGGACATAGAAAGCAACAAAGGGTCTGCCAGCATTTTATGTACAAGAACTTGCTTTTAGAGTTTTATAGAGTAAGCTAAGTATAAACATTTTCTTCTTTGTCCTACTGGTTTTCTCTCTGCAGAGAGGTTAGAAAGTAGTATTTTAAGAAAAATAACTTCAGAGTTGTTTCTTTCTCCCCCAAAAAATCTGGAATGAATAACTTACTGCAGCGAAGGATGTATTTCTACATACTACTTGGTGTTCTAAATTTCTTCTGATAACAGGAATTTCCATGAGATAGGCTAACAAATGAAAATCATCATTACACACCTGCAGTGTGTGACATGTTTATTTTGTTCCAGAAGACTTTTGAACATATGCAACCTGATATTGAGATATAGAATAAGACTTTACATAAACATGACACCTTTTGTCTCACAGTAGGTAAACTGTGCTTGTTTTCCCTTTCTCTAGAGACAGGCCCCATATACTTTACAGCAGTCTGCAGAATAACCCTATGATTTGAGTAACTTGACCTAAAAAAATTGGAAAAAAACACAAGTGGAAGTCATGGGCTCAAAAATCTCATACAAATTAAACCACATCTTACTCAATTTACCTGCTTGAGGAGAGTAGCATGTGTTGATTTGATGTTCACTGAGCTGAGTTCTTTAATAAAACAAGGGTTTCTTACTGGATTGAAGAACACTGTGTACAGATAATTATTATGCAACCGCAGACTGTGTAGTACTTAACCTTTAAATAATATGCTTGTGTCAAGCAATGGTGAACCAGTTGTGATAAATACATAATCTTTCGGCTATTATGGATGTAATTAACTCCCTTCTCATGTAAATTTAACACCTGCTGCTACATATTCATAACAGAAGTGCTTTTACCGTGCGTGTTGTACAAAACATGTGTTGTATGAGCCCTGTGGAACCTCCTGTGTGTGCCGAGGAACGGCGCGTCCCCCTTGCCTCGGTGTCCACTCATGCACCTGGGACACTGAGTGATGCACAGCACTGCTCCAGAGCTTTCTGAGACCAGTGATCCTATATTGCCCTTTTTACTTTCTTCTTCTTGAATGATGAATAACTTTGACAAGAAGCCAAGGCAAAAATCACATTCAGACGAGTTCAGAGAGTTTATTCCAGGTCAAAATAAAAGACTATGAAAAACGGGAAAAATAAGTGTTGCAATAAACATGTTTGGCTTAGGGGTTTGGGGTTTTTTTGTTGGTTTGTTTTTTTTTTTTTTCATTTCACAGAATAGGATGAGTGATCAGAAGCTAATACCAGTGTAAGATTCATGGGACTAAATCCTGGTCCACTGAGCTGCCTCTAAAGAAGATTACTGTAATAAACCTTCTAGTACATAAATACACCAAATGAAATTGTGAACACTAAATTATTCAGCAACAAATAGAAGATATTGATTCAGAAATGCCATAAATCCAGCTTGGAGGGATCCCAAAAATGTGATTCATCAGGAAACCTGAGACAGACAATAGACATGCATACAAATTTACCAACAGAACAAGGTATGAATGACTAGTAAGGAAATATCCCAGCAGATCACCCTGCTTTGCTAAAGAACATCCAGTAAGTGTGTGATCTGGTTTTAGCTCTGGTTTGTAGTTGCAATTTTCAAACCCAGACTTTTGCTCTTTGAGTATGTATTTATTGTTGCTCTTCTCCATTTAGCTTACATGGAAGACACACTAGTGTACATGCTCAGGCCAGGCAGTTTTATGAGCTCTTATATGATGTAATGAAAGTCAGGCATAATTATTATTTACCTCATCAGAACATAAAGGACAAACTTCTTTTTCTACTGCTGTCTTCTACCCCTGAGGCTTCTCTATGGGACTCTTGGAAGACTTGGCCAAACAGCTGTAGAACCAGTTTCATGCCCTGCCTCCCTTGATAGGTAAAGGAATTACTCCCTTGCCAAATAAATAGATTAATTAAATAGATCATGTTACTTAGGGAACTGTGAGCAGAAAAGTTGATGCATGGACTTGCAATAGCAAGTCAGACAGGGATACAACATTTGCACAAGCACACCTGGTTCCACATCTACCCAAAAGTGCTCTGCAAAGGAGGTGGGTTTTGTTCCTCATGATTTCTGATTTCCCATGGGGCTTGGGGAGCAGCGCAGAGGGATTTTGCAGAGTTCATGGCCAGTGTGGACACTCATATCACAAAATTCTAGATGTCCCCAGAAAACACTGAGGTCGAAAAGGGAGAGGCCCCGTGAGTCAGATGGGGTTTTTTTCAGCTCATAGTTTTGGATTTTTGTGCCTCAGATCCAGCTGTATTCTATTTGAGCCCTTTTTTGAACTGACTCCAACCATCTTCTGAAGAGTCTGTCATTATGTCAGTTAAGACCCAAAGTACTGATGGAAGCTGCTGCAAAATCCAAAATCAAAAAAGATGAATCTCACCATTGGTGTGGGGTGACTGCAGACTCTTCTGCTCCCAAAGGGACAATTCCCCATAGCCCTGTGCTGATAATTACTGCTGCTGCTTGTCAGACCTAGTAATTATGAAGCCACTCCATTCATCAGCACCATTTGTTAATCTGTGTTAGGGAACACGTACAGGAAAAAATGGTTAGTTGTTTGTTTTTTGTTTGGTTTTGGTTTTGGTTTTTTTAAATGCATCAGCAAACTCACTGCACAGTCCCACGACCACTGGCTTTGGTTGCATGGGTGAAAATGGCAGGAACACACAGCCAAGGGCAGATCAGCAACATATTCATAAATCAGTTTACCCCAAGCATGAAGCCATTTTCCAAGTACTCATTCGACAGATCATTTTAAATGTACCTCAGGTGCGTCTATACAAGTTCCAGTCACTGCAGCGCAGGTGTATCGGCTCACAAGGACATGAACGAGCATGAAATTTGCAACAGAAAGATGCAGGACGGGATTCAACACAATTGAGAAACGGGAAGTTTTGGGTGGGTGGCAGAGATCAGAGACTCTGGCAGCCATTCTGATTGCCGTGAATCAGTATGGGAATGTGGTAACAAGCCGGGCACTCGGGGAGCCAGGAGAGAGACAGGGAAAAATGTTTCAGCTGCCGACAAGAACAATGACGGGCAGGCAACCAAAAGCGTGTGAACCATTGGATGCGTGCTTGGCACTGACTCTCCTGGGAGAAAGAGTGGACAAAACAGAGAGAAGGAAGGAAAGAAAACATCAGCAGGGAAACTGAAAGCAAGAGGGAGAAGTTGCTTGGGTCAGCTTTACTCGACAAATGTCCTCACTAGCAGACGTAGTCCATGTTGGCTATAGGTAGTTGCACAATCTCATCTCAGTCACACATCTTAAATGTGTGGCCATTTCCACATCCTGAAACTTTTAAGCTACATTTTTTATTTGATTATAACTGCAGGTCCTTGAGCACTTTCTAACAGCAACTAGGAAATTTGCTAAATCCTCTTCTTTTCGCAGGAGTATGAAAACAAACAGGCAGAAAAGCAAAAAAGCCCAACATTAACACAGGATATTCCCCACCCTATCATAAAAAGATACAGTTCCCTTTTTCTAAAATGAGTGTCTAAAAAGCAGATGAACTCTTGCAAAACTCCTTGAAGAGCTGAGTAATTACGGAAACATTCTGTTGGCTTAGGAATAGTAAGTTTTGCTAATGAATTTTGTTTTGGATTGAAACTTAAGACAAAATTGCCTCTCTTCTGGATCTGTACTCTTTTTATAATACCTGTATTTCATGGCAACCAGGAGCAAGCTTGTCAGCTACCACAAAAATCTACTTCTGAGAAAAAGCCTTATCCCAAATGTTTTCTTAACCTGAAATGTACCAACTATCACTTATGTCATATTCCCACTTCTGTAAAAATTTTGGGAAACAACTTGCTGCATCACACCCACAAAAGTGAGAGCAAAATTGCAAGTGACCACATCATGCTTCGAAGGGGCTGAAGCAGATGGCATTTGGGGAAGTTTGTAAAAAGAAGACTGTGTAGTAGCACATGGGGAAAAAAAATCAAACCAAACCAACAACAAAAAAAAAAGAAAAAAAAAAAGCACAGAGGACAACTGAATTTGCAGGAGGGATTCTGAAAAGAGGAGTTCTGCTAGGGCGTGAATAACTAGCTCTAAGATCAAAAGAACTGCTAACGTAGCTGCTTCCCTTTCGAGAGGATATGAAATAGCAATAGCAGTTGAGTGTGAATCCGATTGTAAAAGGAAAATGACTCAAAAGACGAGATCTTTGGGAGTTTTTGGCCACGCTGCGGTGCGGTGCGAGGGGGCACGGAGGGTGCGGCAGGGGATGCGGGGGGCACTGGGCTGGTGGCGGGGCAGCAGCGGGTTGCGGGCTGCGGTCCCTGCAGAGGATGTGCGGGCACTACCAGGGTCTCTCAGCATCGCTGAAGTTCACGGTTCGCGGCAGGGCCACGTCGGGGCTTGGGGAGGCACAGACGGCTCCGGGAGAAGGGAACGCGACGATCTCAGGAGTCTTTTCCAACCTAATTGCATTGATTCTGTGAAGTGTCTCTGCGGTGAACGTGCGGGAGGAAGCGGAGGGCAGGCAGGGGCGGCGCACAGGGTGAGAAAGGGGTGAGAACAGAGGGAGGGCAGCCCGAGCCCGGACCCGTGGCACGCTGCTGTGGCACCTCAGCTGCCCAGGTGGTGGGGGCGGACCTCGCCCGCCGCTCCCCGCCCGGCTCGGGTTACCTGGGCGGGCCGTCCCGCAGCTCCGCTCTTCCCGTCTGGCCCGGCCCCTCGACGGGAAGTGGGAGCTGGGAGTCGCGCCGGGCGGCCGGAGCTATGGCTTTCCAGGGAGCCCCTGTGCGGTGCCGGCTGCTCCTCGCCGTGTGCTGGGTGGTGGCCGCGGGCACGGCGGCAGGTAGGAGCGGGAAGGGGGGAAAGGGAAGGCAGGGGAGGGGAGCGGGACCGGCTGCGCTCCGTGTCCGGCGGGGCCGCGGTGCCGCCGGCGGAGCCGGGGCTGGAGCAGCCGCTGCCGGGCTCTGCCCTGCGCAAGCCGGGCGGCTCGGTGCGCACAGGGACACCTGTTTAAGTGAAATGCTTTCGTTTTGTAGTAGAAATCGCCCGAAGCGGGTCGGCCGTGTGCGAGGCAGCGCCGGCGCTGCGCCCTGCCCTGCTCTGCCGCTTACCGGGCGGAGGAACGGGGATGATTTAAATCCGCGCTCCTCTCGCAGTAAGGCAGCGTTTGACAGGGTCGGCAGAAATCTTTTAAGCTCTGCGTTCGGTTCCCGGGACTGTTTCTGCGTCAAAACCCGAAGCAGAAGCCCGCCGCCCTCCGCCCGCTGCCCGAGTCCTGCGGCGGCGGCGCGGGAGCGGGTCCGCCGGGTGCGGGAGCCCGGGCACCCAGAGCCCCCCTCGCCCTGGTCCTCGGCCGCTGCCTTCGCCCTCGCCCTCAGTATCCCCGCTTCTGGAAGCGCGAGCGTTCAGTTGAAGGAAAGGTGCGTGCGTGTCTGTGAGGGTTTCAAAAGGACCCGTGCTCGAAGCTTTATTAGTTCTTTCTCTGCTCATGTTATCCAAAAACCCAGTTGCAAACTCTAGAGAACTGTTATTTTTCAACTGGCTACAATTCATATACAATGAAATCAACCTTCAGAAAATGCTGGAGGACAGAATACAAATGTGATGTCTTTTTTATTACTTTTGGACACTTAGACGGTACTCGAGGCAAGGGATTTGTTAATGTTTCCACATGAGGGCTTTTGGAAATAGTACGTTTTCTGTGTTGGACTGCCTCAGCTAATCTCTGCTGATTACTGCCGTGCTTTGTTTTCTTAGAAGCACCACCGTGGTTTTGCTTTTTAAGAGTGAAATAACGGCTTGCCTACGTTTTGTAGTTGGTCACTGAGTTGTTCTGCTAAAATTGCAGTAGAAATTATAATAACAAAAGTATTGCACTCTATATTTTACACAAAAAAAAGGTATGAGACTTGCCAGCCTATGAATAAAAACTGAATGTAACATTAAAGCATGAGCTTCAGAATTGTATAGATTAATCAAAAACCTACTAGACTTAAACTTCTTATGCTAATACAATTCATTGATTTATTTATAAGCTTTGAATATTCCCACTTTGTGTCATCAGAAATCTGCAGACTTAAGCACAATGACTTCAATCAAACCTATTAGAAGAAAATGTTCAGAACTTCAGAATAGCAACCAGGGATGACACTGTAATATTTTTAATGGTTCATGGCTTTTGTAGGTAATTAAGAGTTTGATCACGAAACCATCAGATGCTTGGAGATGTGTAGTCTTGCTGAAAAAATACATACTTATTTTTTAATATGATCAAAAGGACTTAATATTTGCAAATGTAATGTTCCAATGCTGTTCCTAAAACCCGACCTAAGTTTTTTAGTGTAACAGGTAATAGGCAAAGATGGTCTGACTACGTTCAGTTTTCTGAACCTAGAAATGGAGACTTCTCTGCTCCTGGCATTATCTATAAAACAGAACAAACAAACAAACAAACATTCTGAAAGTTTTAAGTATTTAAAAAAACTAAGCATATTTGGACTAAATCGGTAAATCTTTGTAATTTTTCTCATTTTTTGTGTGAGCATCCATTATCTGTGCATACACATGGACACACAGATGGCAATAATGTCTAACCTCTACCATTGCCTGTCCTTTAACTATGCAAAGTCTGAGAAAGCTGCAGGACTTTTATGAGTTTCCGTCAAGCTTTGGCTGCTCTGACTCTCAGGAAATGTAAAATAATGGTGTCATGGACACTTGGAGTGGAATTCTTGCTCAAGGAAGCTCTCTTGCTTTTTCATCTTCCCTCTTCCTTGTGCCAACAGAAGGAAATGAGTCTACACTGTGATCTGGATGGGAAAACTGATCTTGACAGAATTATTCTGCCCTCTTCCTATGTGTTGCTTTAAATGTTGGGATGGGTTGAGCTTGGTTTCCTGGAATGAGCAAGACCAGCAGCACTAGTTGATATCTGTTTGAAGTGTTTGCGAAACTATTGAGTAACAAGGGTACTCTCTGTCCACAGACAAACGGGTGGTGGTGCCTCAGCAATGGTATCTGTAGGTACCCTGAGAAGGAGTCTCATTGGGCTTCTTGTTTAATACCTTCTCATAGTACATATTAGAGTAGCCCTTTAAAAAAAAAAATCCACCCTCATTTTCCTGGGGAATTCCCAATTTGTAATTCTTTCTAGAATTAATGTCTGATACAGCTTTATTTTTTCCTGGCAGTTTTCTATTTTCTGCTGTATTTCCCTTCTTTGTTTTCTAATATGACCTTCAAGCTGTATGATGGGGTCTTGAGTAGGTGTTGGCTTGGTGCAAAAGAGTAAGGAAGGGTCAAAGCACAAACAGATTTATCCCAGCAACTCTCTCTGAGTCATGGCTCTGCTTCTGTCTGGCTTTTGGGGAGGTGAAAAAATGTACCTCTGTAGTGTGCCAGCAATAAATTACTACTTGTCCCACGCTGTTTTTGCTCACTGTGCCAGAACATAGCATTAAAAGTTTAATAGGTGAGTAATTGAAAAAGTAATGTGGTTTCCAAGTTGTTCTTTAATGTTCTTGCCTTTGCAGTCTTTGCTTAGATTGGACTAAATTGTGGTTCTAACGTACAACTGTTGCTTGTAAAATTTAATTGCTTGTCTTTTTAGAGATTTCTCTTTAAAACCTCATTGATGGACAACTTTTGGGTAGAACAAAATATTAATTGCTTCGCAAAGTCTGTATAGTGTTTTTACTAAAGTTTTGGCATGTGTGATGCAAACTCACAGCAGAAAAAGCCTGAAAAGTCAGATTTATCTTCCCTCCACAAACATGAGCTCAAGTACCACAGCCACTATGTTGTGGCATGCTGCATTTTCTTAAAAATTACTTTCCAGTTATTTTGTGCATATTTAAAGTATTGATGGATTGAGGTAACAGGAATACTAAAAACAATCTAATGGGCAGTATCTTATCTGATAGCAAATACAAGCTGACGAAGTCGAAAAGTTATATGTGGGTGTTTTTTTGTCGGAAAGTTAAAAGTCAATATTACTAATGGTAAAGTGTGGACCAATGGGGTTGTTACACTGGTAACTCCTTTCTTCTAGGAGCAAAAGTTCTTCCACCTCCATCCAACCTGGACTACTCATTTATCCAAATCTGCACTCTGAACTGGACATGGAACCCACCCCCGAACGTCAGCAGTAGCTGCAACCTGGAGTATTCCAGTGACATTGTCATTAACGAGGTTCCTCAGGACAACAGAGTGAGTACATCACCTCTTTAAATCCTGCTGTGCCCTGGTAAATGTCTTATTGGGATAAAACTATGTGTGTGCAAGCATATATATATATATATATATATATATATATATATATATATATATATATAAAAATATATATAAGTACAGTT